CTCGGATAGTAGACATGGCCTACCAAGGCAACGATCCAACAACATGTTCCTAATATTCTGAGGCAGCTTTTCCCAATGAGAGTCAACCTCGAATCCAAGACACAGTTGCCGCAGAAGCTCCTTCTTTGCCCAGCGTACGACGAGTGGAGTGTCTGGTTCCTCCCGGAGTTGTCGAGCAGTCGTTTCGGTAACACCAGCTGTAACAAGCGATTCAGAAAGCACGGCATATTCGTGGGGCATTCGCATCATTGATTCGGCGACCGCGTGGAGTAGAGTCTCGGCAATAACCTGGCAGTTAGCGCTGACATCAATCCGTTCATCTAGTCCTCGTCCAACGCAAATGGCAATCTGCAGACGACCAGACATACTGCAGCTTAACGCCTGAATGTTAGGGCCAAGCGAACCCAATGGCACAAGTTCAAGGGCTATTTCACCCGTTTCCCAGGCACCCAGGGCCATACTGATGAGCTTTTCCGACTCCGGGAAGGCCTCTTCAATCCTGGGTTCTATCTTCCGCGAAAGTAGAATAGTTTTAACTTCAACACCAGGATGGGAGCTGGGCACAAGTTTCAACCGCGCGTCAGCAGGGACGACTGACATTCCTTCGAAGAATGTCTGTAACTCTTGTTGGGACCACTCAGGATCCGACCAAGGAGCGGTATATGCATGGAAAGTCTTCCCAAGCTCCACGGGCGAGTCAACTTTCTTGGGCATGCCCATCTTGGCAGTGAAAAGAGAGAGGATAGCCACTGTCCATGTGGCGGCTCCTAGACCAATCACCTGAGAATACAAGAAGTTATTACCAAGGCATACTTTGAGGGCGATACCGACAGGCAATCCGACGACCACACCAGTCATCAGTGGTATGAGGGCGTGCGGGCCGGTGAAGATCTTTGTATATTGGTACCAAAGAAGGCCGGTATAGGACAATACATAAGCGAAAAACATGATCATCGCTTGCACTGGTGCTTGGAAAGTCCAGATCAAAGCCGTTGCAAGAGCCAAGCTCCAAACAAGCCACATGAGAAATTTGGAAAAGGTCTTCCAGTAGACTTTTCTCTTGAATCTCACGTCTCGCTTCTGGGATGGACGTATCTCCTTGGCTGATCCCACAGCAACAGCCGAATGCTGGCCCACAAGATCATGGAGTTCCTGGGCCTTGGTATCGATGAGAACAGCCCCAATGAGGTAGTAAGCCAAACCAAATCCGACTGCCATCCGATTGGCATCAGAAAGGGAAGTTGAAAGACCAACGAGCTGACCGCCACTTAATAACTCAACCCATTTGTCCAGAAGGGCTATAATAAAGTAGAGAATTCCACAGCCTATTTCTTTGCTCGATTGGCGCCAATGGATGAAGGCATTATGCAGCCGGATTCCTTTCTGGGAGTTCCGAAGAACGTCCAGCCCGACCTTGGTCTGGATATTCCAAGAAGAACTGAAAGGAATCGGCCGAGGTACATCAGCATAACGACAGTACCAGTCGAGGAGGAAATTTGTCGAATCCCAATCCCTGGCAAGCTCGCGGACTAGTGTATCAGTTGTGGGCTTAGAGAAGAAGCTCCGAGAATTCTCGGCCAAGACATCCTTAAAGAGAGCATCTCTTGACAGTTTCAAGACAGCCGGGTCACTCAGGTTTCCAAAAACCTTCTCGTCGTTATTACCGTACGTGGCAATATACCATTTTCGGATTTCCGTATCGTCCGTCCTCCTAATATTCTGATACCAGGTCACCCACTTAGAGGCAACTGATCGCAAGCCGAGAAGCAAAAATCCGATAAACACATATAGCACAGCGAGATAGATAGCTGAATCGTGGCCGCTCCAAGTAGTGATGATAGGCGAGACGAAAAGAATGGGGATGCAGCTGAAGATCACTTTGCGTCCGGACAAGAAACCGGTTCCGGGGTAACTAAAGCTAGCAAGGGTGGCGAAGCTCGTCAGGTAGATGGTCAAGGCGACAAGGTAAAGATAGAAGATAATGCCGGCCTGTGGACTTTTCACGCCAGAGATAACAATGAACCCGATTAAACCAGCGGCAATTGTAAATGCAACGCCGGCAATTAGTCGGATAAGGACAAACATGTTTGAAGCTGCGAAAGCCATCGAAATGAGATAGTAGGGCCCTCCACAAGCAATCATCGTACCGATTGCACCAGAGAGGAGAAGGGAGATCATCAAAGCGATGGTAGCGCTCTGTAGCTCGTCATGGGTCATAAAGGCTGAAAGGTAGAGACCGCGGCCGATAATTGTGAGCAGAATGATGTCGATCAATGCTGGGAATGCAAAAACACCGAGGAAAGTAAATCGCTGGTAGCCAGGCATCGGCTTAACCTTGTGATCCGGATTAACGTCGATTTGGGCACCAGCATAAGATGTGGCCATCTCAGGCGCGCCATTGATCCAATCGGGGAGCTTCTCATCGTCGTACTCCCTTCTGAAACGATCCGAGAGCAGCTTTCCAAAGGCGCTAGGCTGAACATCAAAGTAGACCTCACAGCGTGACCCTAAAGCAAACGATTCTGAGAAAGCGGCCGCTTGGTCTGATTGATTGTTGAACAACGGGTTACGATCGGTCACTTCAGTATAAATTTCATCAATTGCCCCTTTCCTCGCGGCGCAGAAAAGTGCCAATGCCATGATATCAGTATACGCATCGATGTGTTCATTTTGAAGCAGCTGGCAGAAGCCCTTTGATACGAGAGCAAGGTCCTCCTCGCGATGCTCCCTTAGCATCTGAGTAAAAGCGGCATCCGCCTGGTAGAACAATGCGAGACATTTGGATGGAGATGGATGTTGGCATCCCTGCTCTCGGTACCATTTGATGCGGGTATTAACCAAAACTTCGGGAGATGCCGAGCCTTCAAGATACGAGACCGTATTAAGGTCCTTCAGTTGAGCGAGTGAAGGTGCATCAATAAGCAGTCTCCGAATGTATGCACAGATAGTATCGGAGAGCTCACTGTATGAGTCGGTCAAGGAGAGATGCTGAAATAGAAGCAGTCGCTCTTCTGGGCTCAGCATGTCGATGTCTTGGACGAATCGGCGAGGAAGTCCGGTATCATTGACGAGGTCCTGGGACCATTTGGCTAAAGCGGTTTCTACCTCAAAGCAAACGTGGCGGGGGTAACCTTTTGCAGACAAGAATGTATGCAGTACAGTTCCTGCTAAACCTGGGGCCTTTTTGGAAGCAAAAACTTCAAACCCATCTGAGTCCATCTGGTAAACTGCCCAAAAGCGCACGTCGACACTCTTACGAAGTCCTGAGTCCAATCCAAGGTTGACCTGCAATGAGCCGTTAGTTGCCAGATTAGACAATTCTTTGATCGAGGTCGCCAGTTGGTCTGAGGTTGCGTTTGGAATAACGTAAGGATCTGAGCTGGTTGCATTGGGAAGCATATAAGATTCATGAAATTTCTTGAGGAGCAGGCCGATGCTCTGAATCTTGGAAGCAGGAACCGGGTGGAGCAATCCTAGTGATTTAAGGCGCAATTGAGACTGAAGGACTTCGGCAAAGGCAAGTGCTGTCGCCTCAGAACCAAGTGGGAAGCAACCAAGAGAGTTATATTCAATGCCGGCCATTGATATGGAAAGTGGACTCCCTAGCGATTTCACCTGTGCTACCCACTCCGGTGGATCACGGAGTTTTGTCGTCAATTCGTTGCTCTCAGGTTGACCATATTCCGACGATGTAAGTAATTCTTCCAGGGCAGGAAAAAATGGCAACAATGTATTCCAAGCGTTCGTGTCGGATGCATCATTCTGGATATGCAAATTCGAGCGCCAGCGATCGTGAGCTTTGATGATTTCGGCATCTTTCAGCCATCCAAAAGAGGAGAGAGGCTCTGAGATCTTGACGTTAAGGGCAGCGTTTGTGAGAGCCGACTTCCGGCCAATCCATGGGATCGCACTGTAAAAGTTACACCATTGGAGAGACCTTCTGACAACAGCATTCGATAGTGCGGCATTGTCATCGATTGTCTCCCACGCCATCACCACAAAATCTCTCACACAAGCTTCGGAGACGAACGCCTTGATGGTGGGTTGCATTTTCACGAGTTGAAAATAGTCGCGCTTCTGACCTTCTGGTAGTATACTAGCATTTTGAATAACTATTCCGGAAATTGCGGGGTTCTGCATAGAGTTATGGTCCTTTAGAAAGTCTGGGGGTGCCGTCTCCAGGTAAACTGCCAAACCCAACTCATCGATCACCTCGATGAGCTTAGTGAAAACCGGGGTGGGAAACTTCCCTTCCCAATTGGCCAGTACCATACCGCTGAAGTTAGCACTATCGAATGTGCCTGTGAGAAGGTTTTCAATCTTTTCGATTGCTGACAATGTCGACTCATCCTTTGAGAGGACATGATCAAGGTCAACTCTTCCCAATAACTGCTTACCCTCCACATAACGAATTGCTTGGGCTGTGCCCGACTGAAACGGATCAACGATCAACAGGTCCCATTCATTCAGGAGCCGAAGCTGATCCCGATCTGGCGGGGAACTGAATGAACCAAGATAGACGCCAAAAGAAGACGGCTTACGTCTTTGAATGTTTGGTACATTGAGCAACTTGTTGGAAAGAGTAACCAACCGTTGAGATACATTGGGCGGCACTTTCTCTGAACGTGGCCTTGTCTGTGATTGGGATCAGGTGAGCGATAGATCAGATATACATTCACAAGCAAATCAAGGTAGTCCTACCTTAATGTAGTTGAGTAGTCTCTTCGTCCCAGAGTACAGAAGCCACAAGGACCCTGTAGCAACACACGCTATTAAGATACCGATGAACACCTAGCATAGCATTAGTCAATGATATTTGAAACATGTATGCAATCACTACTTACAAACTGCCACCAATTATCTTTCATTCTATCCCAGCCGAGGGCTGAGACGTGGAGGATTTCCGCCATCCTAATTAGATATTGCAGGTCAACCTCACAGGTCTGACCATCAAAACGAGAGACTAAGAAAGAAACGAAAGTGAAGGGGTTAAAGAAATATGCCCTTGAGGGCGTATGACGTTAAAAGGGCAACTGTCAAAGTGCTAAGTGCTCATGACAACAGCGTCGTGCCGCTTTACGGGGCCAAAGGTCAGATGAGATCTGAGACCGTTGAAGGTGAGGCTGAGCGAATGAGAATAGAACAAAAAGGGTATTTCAAAAGCGAGTGATCCAAAAAGAAACGAAGGAAAAAACGAAGGTACAAGGGCAAAAGTAAAGAAAAAGTAAAGAAGAAAGATACAGCAAGCTGGAGACTGAGTGAAAGAATGTTACCCAACATGCATTCATCCAACATTCGCTTGTACCTCAGGAAGAAAGCGTCTTTTTCCTTTTTTTTTCCTTTTTTTACCACTTAGCCTTAGCTAGGTTGCAAATGGCGATATGGCCAGTGTTCTCAGCTCTAGCCTCTAATTATGGAACCACCCTGATAGTGCAGGACTCAAGAGGCAGACAAAAATAGCCAGCGACCAGGACTAGTCTGACACTAAAACAGGTTAGGGTGTCGGAGGACAGTCAGATGAAAAGGATTTAGAAGACAAGATCCATTATAGGTATAGTAGCATGGGGATCTATCTCGGGCAGATGCGATTGAGACGTGGGGAGGGAGGCAAAAGCGTGGCAGTCCACCACCAACTAACGACAAACTTCTCGGACAGCACCGAGAAAAAGTTAGATGGAACGGTGACACTCGATGAGATGAAAACCAGTGACCGAAGGTCATGATGCAGAAAAGCGGACAGCTTGCCTCCGATTCCATGGGGACGAAAAGGAAGAGATTTTCTCCAAGTCATTGACCATTGGGTAGCACAGTTGTCGGAATTCATGATCTGTACGGTCATTGGCGGTGTCTGGCATAGTGGATTTTGGAAAGTGTTGTCTGGATCAAGGCGGAGCGTCTGGAAAAAGTTAGTATGTATGGAAAAAAAGAATTGCTTTAATTAAGAACACATGGCAGGATAGA